TTACACTCTTTGTGACCCAGTAACACCATGCCTCAGCTCTCTGAGCTTCAGAATACACTCTGAGAAATTGCATTTCATGTTTGATAATTTAATTCCACTTAGGCCAGTAGTTTCTCTGTCTTTGTTTTGGTTTGGTTTGGTTTTTCGAGACACAGTTTCTCTATGTAGTCTGTCCTGGACTCACTTTTGTAGACCAGGCTGGCCTCGATCTCACAGAGATCCACCTGCCTTTGCCTCCCAAGTGCAGGGTTTAAAGACATTCACCACCACCACCCAGCTTGGCCAGAAGTTTTTCAAGAAAATGCCCCAGTTAGAAAGTTTCCAGGTTCAACTCAAGAGTTTCAGTAAAATTCTAATAATCTGGGGCTGGCAAAATGGCTTGGTGGGTGTGCAAGGCTCATGATCTGAATTCAGTCCCCAGAGACCATAGTGGAAGGAGAGAAACAACTCCACAAAACTGTCCTCTGAGCTACCTATGAACATTGTGGCATGCATGTGCCTGTCTACACACACACATGCACACACACAGAGAAAGAGAGAAAAAATGTGCATAACAATAATTTTTTTTTTTTAGATTTATTTATGTATGTATATGAGTGCTCTGTCTTCACGTTTGTCTGCACACCAGAAGAAGGCATCAGATCCCATCATACATGGTTGTGAGCCACCATGTGGGTGCTGGGAATTGAACTCAGGACCTCTGGAAGATCAATCAAGGCTCTTAACCACTGAGCTGTTTTTTACAGCCCAAGTTTTTGGTTTTTTGTTTGTTTTTTAAATTCTAATAAGAGTTTGAGCATCCCACAAAATGTGTGTGGTAAATGCACCTTTTCAAAAGTAAAGGAAAAAGCAAACACATGGAGCATCTCCTTGCTTCCTGTTACCTTTGGCTTCCATCTCTGTGCATATTTCCTGGAGGAGAGAGAAAGCCTCCTCTGAGGCTCGAGTCAGGATGCCCTGCTCAGCAGTTATGGAACTTTTAAGTTACAAAAGCTTCAGGCTCTGATGAAATCACATCGCCTTTCAAAATAGTCTTTACACAAAAGGTACCTGCACTGCTTGATGTGTAGAAGAGAGATTCCAAAGTAGCTATGACGGCATTTTCCAGAAGTCACACCGTAACAAAGGGAAAATACAACCAGCAGCCTGCCGGGGGTGCTGACGCCGATGGGGTGGGTACCTCCTATCCCAGTCTACCGCCCCCAAAAAGCTTTACAGAGATAGACGAGGTAGAGGGTAAAACAAGGGCTGCTAACCCCAAAACAAGGAGTGATCCTGGAGGAGAGGACCCTCAGTCATGGGTTCCACGCTGGTTTCCAGAACAGAGTACAAGGAGCAGGGAGCCCCGAAGGCTCCACGAGCTGAGGCAGCAGGAGATGGGATTCCTGTGCTAAGGAACACAACCACGCTGTCCTTTGGGCTGTGGCCCACCTGAGGCCACTCAGGACTTCCAGACAGGAAGATGATGATGCACAGTGTTTTAAGTTGCTACTTGTTAGAGCAGCAAACCAAACAAACGCTGAACCCAGAGATGCCAGCGATGGAGGTGGGACGCCACTGTGACGTGGGTGAAGTGGCTTGAAGTACCACTGGCAGAGGCCAGGAGCATGTGAGTGCAGAAGGAGAATTATCCTGGACTGCCTAGAGTGGCTGTGGAAATGGGCTGTGGCAGGCTCACTGGTCGGGAGGCACAGGAAGCCAGCCCTGTATCTCAAGAAATCCAAGGCTATGTGATCAGGGATCAGTGTGTGATCAGGGATCAGAGGAAGACAAGGCTTCCCTGGGGCTTGGCTGGTCAAAGCCTCATGGAAAGGAGAGTGTTGGAGGGAAGGGGACAAGGTCTGGAGGAACCTCTGATTTGCACCTGTATAGCTGTGTGAGAGCAAACTGTTCAGGTGATAAATTAAGTGCTGGAGGTGTGGCCTGGCTCTTCCTGCTGCCTGTATTGAAGTGTGGAAGAGGGAGGGGCATCAGAAAGGAAAGGTGATAGCGTGGGGCTTTCTCAGTTGCCTAGACCACGCTGAGTGTGATCCACTGTCAGGAAAGCCTGCTGTGCCCTGGGTATGTGGGACAGCCCTCTTAGCTTGTCAAAGGACCAGAAGGCCAGAGCATCCAGCAACAGAGGGCTAGCCTGCGACATCACCCTTCCACTCCCACACATCTGTACCCCATGACAAGGGAACTGACACTTGGCAGAGCATGGATGGAGGAACAGGACCCCGGTCTGAGCTGGGCTCTGAGTTGCTTTTCCAAACTCACCTGCAAGGGTCACGGGGAGAGTGGGGCAACTGTGAGGCTGCAGCTGGAAAGGGTTAGGACAGCACTTGAGGAATGGTGTCTGGCCAGCAGAGGTCTGGGCTGGCACTTTCTCATCCTGCTATATTGTCTTCAAAACAGACCTGAGATTGGTGGGAAACACGTGCCCTGCAACTCCGCTCTTCTGGAACCTGAAGCTCAAAGACCAGCAACTTGGTTGCCTGTTGTTGCTAAAATCCCTTCCACGGCTAAGGTCCCAAGCACAAACTAATGCAGGATTCCACCCAAATTCATTCTGGGGGACCAATGAGATTACTGGGCTTCCTTACAGAGTTTAGTGAGTGTTTCCTACAGGGGTGTGGTGCTCCACCCCCAAAAAGCTGCATTGGAAAGTCTTTACCCAGCAGGGATGAGGACTTCCTCATAGCCCTTCAGTGGAGTCCTCCTCCTGGTCTTCCCTTGCCTGTATACTCCAGCCCATCCAGAGGCCACGTACAATGAGAACCGCTGGACACTCAAGATTCCACAGCCCTCCCACCGTGTATGAGGGCACGTAAAGAGCCATCAAGCCCAGCTGGGATAGTCACAAGCAGGTTCAACCAAATGCCCCAAGATGGCAGTTGTTTAGCCTGTTCAGTCCTGTTCAGTGGCTGTGCAGAACTTAGCACCGGAATGATGCTTGCCAGGTAACATTGCCACCCTGTTGGCAGCTCTGATCATCCCAGTTTTGTGTCCTGGCCTGACCATGTTGAAGGCTGAGCACTCCCTCCCTCTGCTGTAGAAAGAGGTGTGAGTGACCAGGGCATAGTGGGTGGGGGGTGCCTGGACCCAGACAGACCTGGTCTGTACCCTACTTACCAGCTATCTGTGAAGAATCTTCACCAAGAGGCGCAGCAGCCTAACGAGCCAGCAAGCCCTCCTTCCACACCCAGCCACACTCGGCACTCCCTCCTAGCAAGCTCCAGGTGCTAAGCATTTGGTGTTGGCTTTTGTCAAAAGTCAGACACAAGACCGGACGCTGTGGTTCTGACTACGGCAGGTCCCAAAGCCCCACAGGCGTGTCCTGTCACCACCCCACCTGCCTGGCACCAGAAGCAGCACCAGGCTAGTGGTGGTCTGCCTCAGTTGTGAAAGTTATGCTAACAGTCACCTGGGGAAAGGGCAGGGATTTTAAACCGGATGTGAGGATGGAAAGGATAACCCTTTAAGCTAGATAGTCCAACAGAATCCTCATCAGTAACTACTCCTGCTCTGCTTCCTCCAGGTGACTGACAGCCCACAAGTCACCAGCAAAGCAGGCACAGAGTTGGTGACATGAGCCGCTTGTTGACCCTGTACCTTGGTCCCTTGAGTGTGTGGACACAGACATCAGGAATGTGGAGAAAGGGCTTGGCCACCCTGGACTGTTCCAGTCATCTGACTTCACACTTAGGGTTCCAGGAAGCAGCCAAAGAGGCCAGGAAATGAGTTGAGCTGCTACCACCCCCACGCAGGGAACCGGCAAGCTCTCAGGATATCACATCAGCAGTGTTACAAAATCCTCTGGTGACCAAAATTCCGGATGCATCACATCTTTGGCCTTGGTGAAGAAACTGGCTCCACCTATCAAAGTGAAACTGCTACTTCATGCCCTTCGGAGACATAGAAACTCTGTGCTGTGGTCACAGGTCTATGTCTATTCCAGAAACACTGAGAGGTAGATGGAAAATGCCAACCAATTCCACTTTCCCCCCTTACAAACCAAGGGCCGCAGGGGAGCCGGTTAAACCAAGCAAAGAGGCGGAGCTTTGTCCAAGGCTGGGAAAAGAGTCCAGGATCTGACTGGCCTTAATTTTCAGAGATTACATTCACGGGTGCTCAGTGGGAGGCAGGCGGACAGCCTGAGAAAAATCAGAGGCCTTCCCTGCAACCTGTGGAGTCTAAGGGCGCCAGAGAAAGCGAGGCAGACCTTCACTAACTCAATTTTAATCGAATGTGTCCAGCAGATTGATATGCCCAAGACAAGGAGTCAGGGACTAGGAGCAAGACTTTTGAGTACTTCACTTTTTAAATATAAAGAGTCAGACATTTGAAGCCTCACTCCCTGAAAGTATAACATACTATTTCCGGGCTTGTTTGTTTGTTTTCATTTAAAGTATCTTATTCTTTACCATGAAAAAGAAAGAAAACACAAAACAATCTGTGCCAATCTGTAAGGTCCAAGACGAAATCGTACTGCTGAAAAATCACGAACGGCACACACACTAAAAATAATTCACTACCTATCTTTAAAATGTCAGCACAGGAAACTATTCCACCCACATGACTTGCGCACCAGCCAAGACCCAGCAGTGGGTAAATAGCCGTGAGTCGCAGAGTCCAGGCGAGGCCAGCTTTACTTCCCCGTCGGCTGGCATCCAGCGGGGCGAGCCAACTCCCTCTGCCTCAGTTTCCTCGTTCATAACGGGGACAGTAATAGCATCTCTGCTCAACTCCCATGTTTGCTTCGCCCAGCAAAGGAGGTTACCCTGAGGGGAGACTTAAAGCACCTAAGACGCAGAGTGGTGCGACCCAGCGCTCTCTCCCAGGGTAACCTGGAACTTCCCGAGGACGCTCAGAGTGGGCTGGAAAACTGGAGATTTTTCTCAGTCAGCAAGGCAAGGCAGGCGGGGAGCGAGAGGCCGAGGTGGGGACCCCGCGTCTGCACGGACACGACTCCGCCCCGCCGAGCCCCGAGGACAGGCTGTCCGCGGCGCCGCCCTCACCTGCGGTGTCCCATATGGAGATGTTGAAGGAGCGCCACTGCTTCAGGTAGAAGGCACCGCCCACGGTGCTGACCGTGTCCGGGAAGCGACGCTCCATGTAGCGCTGCAGCAGCGACGTCTTACCCACGTTCATGTCCCCCAGCAGCACGATCTTCCCGTCCGGCTTCCGCATGGCGGCGGAGGGCGAGCCCCTGCGCTCCTCGGTCAGACGCCCGGGACGCCAGGGGACGCGGGCCCCGGGCTCCTGGTGGCCCTGGCCTGAGGTCCCGACGCACTGAAGTGCCAAAGAGGAAGCGATCCACAGCGCTGTACTGGAGTGAGAATTCAGCCCTGCGCCCACGTGGGGTGCGCGGCCACCACGCCCACGCCCCTCGGACCGCCCCGGCCCCGCCCCCAGCCTTCTTCTCCCAAGCCCCTTCCCCAGTGCCTAATCCTCTCTGCCACGCCCCTGTCCCGCCCACTTTCCCCTCACCTAAATTCCTCACGTCCGCCGGCCCAGCCTTAGCCTCACGCGCACAGAGCTCTCCCCTTTCTTCCCCGTTCCTCCTTCCTCGAGGTCTCTTGCGCGTCCCTGTAATCCCAAACCCCATTCCGCCTTCATTTCCCTCCCCTTCCCAGAGCCTTGGCCTCTTGCCCCCAACCCCCAAATCCTTCCCATCCCTTCTCCTCCAAGCCTCCCTCCAGCCCAGCCCGCCTTTTCCCGGAACCCCTCTCCCTGGCCCAGCCCATGCCACGCCCCCTCGTGCCTGGTTCCCGCCCTCCCCGACTCCAGCGGGTTCGCCGTACTGCCTACCTCCCACCCTCGGAAAGCCTGTGTGTCGCCCAGCTTGGAGCCTAGGACCTAGGACTGAAGGTGAAAGTCCCAGAGAGCTTTCCTTCGGACCCAGCAGGGTAGGCGCGGGGCCCAGGAGCTCGAGAACGCGGCGGCGCAGCGGGCGCTGCGTGTCTGCTCCACGGCACCCTCGGCTCTGTTCCGCTCCTCCGCCCCTGCCCAGCGCTCCTCGGAGCACCCTGGTTGCACCCACACAGATGGCCCTGGAGAGTTCTCCAGGTTGGGCAAGTCCCTTGGAAGAGTACTGAAATTGAGGGAGGACGGGACGGGGCGGGGACTAGGTGAGTTTGCCTTTTTGAAACCTTTTGTGCCGCAATGGAGGGAAGTTGCCATTCGGAACGGGAAAACTTGACTTTGCTTTTGCAGTAACTGCTAGCGAAGACTTCCCTCCCTCCTGTAACACAGAACCCTTGAAAGGCGTTCAAAATCTTCCTCGGGTACCTCCAGCCTGCAGGGGGGCGGGGAAGTTACCCTGGTCAGGTAGAGCCCCGCAAGTTCTGTTTTCTGAAAGAGGAAAAGACGCTTAGGAGCTTCTCCCTCCGCAGGTCCCACTGGGGCGAGAACGCGACTCCTCGGGCACCTTGCCTGCAGCGCTGAGGACCAGTGCCCTTGGGCATTCGGTAGAAGGGTAGTTCTGGGGCGTGGAAGGCTCAGCAGCGCGAGCAGCTGGCTCCCTCTGAACCCCAGGCTTCTGCTAGCCGCCCCGCCTCTCCCCTGCACTCCCAGCAGAATTTAATTTACTTCCAACTTACTGAGAGCTTGTTGCATGAAAGTTACAAGGAAGGCCCAGGCAGGGGCAGTAACCAGACGACCTGTCCCCCAGAGACTGAGGGATGAATATGGATGGTTCTGTGTGAACACTTAAACCAAGGCCAGGGGGTGGCTAGATTTCAAGAGTCCCCCCCCCCCCGCCTCCCTGTCCCACCCCTTCGAAGGTGGATGTTCTGAGGATCTTCTGGTGTCCCGAGTTGTTCTAACTTTACCATTGAGAGGTCGGAATTTGTGATATGTTAGTTGAGGGGGGATTCCCACTGGAGATGTAGTTAAACAGAAAACAACAAAGAACCAAACACTTAAAAGAACATGAAAGCCGGGTATACGAGCTCACTCTTTTAATACCAGCCCTTGGGAAGCAGAAGCAGGTGGATCCATGAGTTCAAGGGCAGCCTGGTCTACAGCGCGAGTTCCAGGACAGCCAGAGCTACACAGAGAAACCCTGTCTTGGAGAAAAAATAAAAACAACCCCCCACAAAAAAACAAAAACAGGTGCATAGAGAAAGACCCCAGAAGTACTGAGCTGACCACTGTCTACGGGTGTGTAGTAAGAGCTGGCCTGTCTGGTTTTGCTTTTCTACCATGGATGTGTATCACTTATACTTTAAAAGTGAAAGTAATTTCTACATGAGCACATATGGATACACTGACAGATGCACAAGAGGTGCTGGGGAGGGGAGAGAGACAGCAGGAGAGACATTTTGTTTGGTCCAGGCCCCCAGCATGAATAAGCACTTGGGAGACTGAAGCAAGAGGACCCTGAGTTGGTTCAAGGTCAGTCTCTGTCCTGTAGTGCAGCTGCCTCAAGAAACTCCAAGTTTAAAGCCTCAAACCCAGGAGGAACATTTTAAAAATCCAGGAATATCCTTTAGAATACTGAGTTTAAAGAAAACCTGAGCAGCTGGGTGTCCATGGCACAGGCCTTTAATCACAGCATTCGGAAGGCAGACACAGGCAGATCTCTGTGAGTTTCAGGCCAGCCTGGTCTACAGAGTAAGTTCCAGGGCTCTGTTACACAAGAAACAGGGAAGGTGGGGCGAACCTGGACTGAAATGTATTAAGGCCTATATGAAGTTTCCCCCACAAAGCTCCTGGTTGGCACAAAGCAGTCCCCAGTTGGTAGATCCAAGTGGCAGGGGACAGCAGGAAGGCCGAAAGCAGATATAAGAACTCTCTGAAGCCATCGTCTTCCCAGGCACCTTTGAGACAGGAATACCATGCCATTTGCTTCCCCTGAAGCAACTAGCATGTACCCTGGGAGGCTGTTTCCATCCTTAAAGGATGCAGATTTCAAGTGCTGTGATGGCTAGGTCAAAACAAGCCTGCTCTGGCCTTTCAGTGAGGGATGGAGAGCCTTAGGCTACACAAGGTTAAAGTTCAGATGATGAGGAGGACTCTAAACTGTGACAAAGGTAAAAGGGTAAGTTACCTGGAACTGTATTTAGCTCTCCCTTCCACACCCAAATCTAACAAAGCTGCCCCATAAACCCACAACAATAGGCAAGGTGGTTTTCCCCTTATCTTAACCTCTCCAGTATAGGCCACACCCAGCAGCTCTCCGCTCTGTGGCTAAAACAGTGCTAAAGTTAAGTTTTGCCCCTTGGCGGTCTTAAAAGGGCAAAGTGCCACCTTCAAACCCAAGACCCTTTACCATCTCATTTAATAAGTCTGTGAAGTACAGGAGCCATGGCTTGCCCTTTCCACTTGCTATCCAAAAATGTAGCCTCTCTGCCCTTCCTTCCATCTCCTCCCTATCCAAAATATAGCTTTCTCTGTCCTTCCTTCCATTTCCTCCCTCTGACATCTTGGTGCCAACACTCAGAACAATCTCTCTCTCTCTCTCTCTCCAACAGCTATCCCCACATTCCCTTCTGTGTCTGCTTTTAGAATTCTTTTATCAGTGAGTGAGACCAAGAATATGCACAAGATACTCTGCCCTACAACATGTCATTGGGAGGTGACGGGATCCTGGAGAAACTGATAACTGAAGTTCCCAGAAAAAAGGAAGGAAGGAAGGAAGGAAGGAGAGTGACACTCCAGTCACAGATTCCCAAGGACAAGTGACAGAGCCTCTTGCTCATGCAGAGTTAAAATGTTGCAGAACAGACCCGGATTATCTCAGACTGTTTTAGTCTTTGGAAGCCACTCATGTGTCTGACCTAACAGCCTGTGACCTTCAAAATGTAAAATGTATTCTCAGCATTCTACCAGCTTCTCCCAGTCCACAAGCCAAGAGCGTCATCAGATAGCATCTGAGGCCTATGGAGGACAGCGATTACCTCAATTTGCCTTGCCACCCCTGCCCTGCCACCTGTGGTCCCCACCATCGTGTCTGCCTGGATTTCTGAGTTCCTTTGTAACTAATAATGTCTCTTATAACTGTTTCCATGGTGGAAACTCTTTTCAGGCACCCAAGTCTGTGTTCCTGGGACACCATTGCTCACATTTGGCTCGAGAGTAAGCTGTCTTGTTCCCGTGTGGAGAGCCCTGTTTTTGCACTCACAGTCAACGGTGGATCCCGTCATGGACTCAATGGAGAAAGCATCTAGGGAACCGAAAAGATCTAGCTGGTGTGTCTTTCCCCTCCACAGGGGTTGAGCGGTTCTGCCCTGCTGTGCCCTTCCACCCTGCACTGACCATAAGTCAAAGGCCAGGAGAGCGTGGACTGACGCCTCTGAGGCTGAGCAGAATAAACGCTTCCTTCTTGGTTTTCCCAGGTGTCTGTCACAGTGATGAAAAGTTGGTAATGTCCAGCGTTAGTGCGGTACACCTATTCTCATGGCCACTAAAACAGTGTTGCTGACTGAAGTCCAGCTTACGGGAGGGCTCTTCATGCTGTGTATTCTGTGGGTCTAGACACACAGAATGAGAGGCCTCGTGCATTTGGTAATTTCTCATCACTGCTCCAGAACACCTGACACAAATAACTGAACGAAGGAAAGCTGTTTTGGCTTGGGTTTCAGGCCACAGTTGCACGACTCTGTTGCTCTCAAGACCTTGGCCAGGCAGAAACATCATGGAGGAAAGACACTGTAGAGGCAGCAGCTTACCCTGTGACACTGGTAGTAGTAACAGGAGGGAGCCCTGCTCGAAATACACCCTTCCAACACATGCCAGCAGCCTTCAGGTCCCTCAACCCAAAGTTCCAGCACTTCCCTTCAGTCTGATTGAATTTTGACTCCATCAGTAAAGCCAACTGCTGACAAAGTCAGAGCCCCAGTGACATGGCTGGCTCTGGAGTCATCCTCACAGGTTTTCAGGCTGAAGGGGGGGCTTTCCTGGTCACCAGGACTCTGTGTCCAGTCAGGCTGACCATGAGGAGGAACCAGCTGAGCGCAGACGGACCCGTACAGAGAGCTCTGTGACTCTGACACTCCACAGATGCTGTGCGTTCAATCTGCTCCCATCGGTGGCCATTGCTCTGATCCACCGGATGCTGCCCTGAGAAATCACAGCACACAGAGGCCGTGCACTGGTCTCACTCACAAGAGAACTTTCATCTCTGTTATTGTAGCTAATGCTTTGCGACAGTTACCCAGGAAAATCTCTTAACTCTGTGTGGCCTGTATTTGGATGTGCGCTGAAAACTGTGGCCAATAACAGTCATCCCAAGGAAAATGAACTGGAGGAGCGTACTCTCCGTTCACCTCACAACACTGGTGTTTGGATTTGGGGTGTGTGGGTGTGTGTGTGTTTTATTACGAGCCTAGCTGTTTTGACTGCATGTATGTCTGTGAACTATGTGCATGTCTGGTGCCCATGGAGGCCAGAGGGAGAGTGGAACCCCCTGGAACTGGAGTTACAGATGGTTGTGAGCCACTAAGTGGGTGCAAGGATTTGAACCCAGGTCCTGTGCAAGAACAGGTAGAGCACTAAATGCTGAGCCATTTCTCCTTTCTCGTGGTGTTTGGATTTGTCACAGTCAGCTGTGTTGACTTCTAAACATAAAATAGACACTTTGGTCTTGGCTGATCCCCTGAGCGGTGGTCAGAGCAGGGCCAGGCAGGCATCTGAGCTGCACTGTCACACATGGTATAAAGGCAGCGAGGGCTTCGGGCTTTCTAAGTGCAATGGGATTTCTCTGCCCAGGGGAACGCCATGGTCAGCATTTCCAAGGGAAAATGAGCCAGATTGTTGTGATCTAGTTTTCACTCCCAAGGCTTAGAGACACAGACACTTCTAGTTTAGACAGAGCAACAAGCGTGTTTTTATCTCCCGGTTTTAGACTATGACCTGAGTAGCCAGAAGAATAAAGACAGTCATTCCCCGGGCCAGGAAGAGCCCAGGGTGCCTCTCTGTCCACTGTAATCCAGGACTCCAACTCTGAAGAAAGCCACCAAGCTGCTGAAACTCTGGCTGAGGCTTCCTCTTTGCTGTTGGGAACTCCTCTGTGGTGTAGTGTGGAAACATCTGTGTGTCTGAAACACGGCTGTGCTCGAAGGCTTAACAGATGTTCTGTCACAGAGCTACGCCCCAGCCTGACCACCTATTCCGTGCATTAGAGAGCAGAGCCAGGAAGCCTCCACCAAGGTTCTAGCACAAGTGAGACGTCGGGGTGGGGGGGTCGTGCAGTCTGACTGCTTTCAGCCTTGAGTGACTTGGTTATCAACTCTACTGCTTTCGAGACCCCTGAAAGAGCAATCAGTACTTTAAACTGCTGGTGTGACTATTAGCATAAGCCTCACATCATTTAGGAGCTATATATAGAACCAGAGTTTTAATTCTCAGAAATCACTGACCACTGCACCAAGTTCCGAGTTTAACAACTGGATGGCCAACGTAGCCAAGTTAAGGCTGACGTGTGTGTGCGTGTGTGTGTGTGTGTGTGTGTGTGTGTGTGTGTCTGTGTGTGTGTACACGAGTGCCACAGCAAGCAACTGGAAGTCCGAGAACATGCTGCAGGGTCATCACTCTGCTCCTGGGGACTGAACTCGGGCTGTTAAATGTGGTGTCCAAGTTTACCCACGGAGCCATCTCACCAACCCCTGTTTTCTTTTGATAACTCCACTGAAGTGTGGTTAAGAGGCAAAGGGCACGCTTGGTAGTGTGCACCTAGATACATTTGACACACGCTCACCTGAGCGGTCACAGCTTGAATGAGCACACCAGTTGTCCCAAGGGGCTTCTTACCCTCCTGGCCACATCCTGTCCTGCCCCTCCGTCATCACCAACCACGAACCTCTGTCACCTCAGGCTAATTTGAACGTTCCAGACTTTTATAAACACTGCATGGTCCCGAGTGCTCATACCTTAGCCTGGCTTTGCTGATGGAGTAGGAGCTACTCACCACTGTGATGATGAATAACCCCAGAAGCAGATGCTATTAAGGTGCACCCATGTGTGAAAGCCACCAACACATTAGCCCAGTGACTTCCATGTCAGCCTTTTGCGCCCTCTAGTGGTGGTGGCCAGCGCACTCTCCAGCCCCACTGGAGAGGGCTGATCCCGAGGGTCCTCTCTTGCAGCAGGAGTCCTGCCAGGGTTGTGAGCATGCGTTGACGGGAGTACCGCTGCCCTCCCTTCTTGCAAGCCCTCCTGCGGCACGGTGACTCGCTTTCAGTTCGCTCTTTTCCAAGACCCCATGGGGATCCTGCAGGATGGCTTGGCTGAGTTACAGCCACCTAGGGAAGTCATTCATGATGGTCCTGCTGTGCACACCTGCTGGGTATGACCTTGGCACATGGAAGCTAGGCCTGTGAGTGGAGGAAAGAAAAAGACTAAGGAAGGGCTTCCACACGAGTCACCCGAGGCAAGGAGCTGGACCTGCAGCTTGGCTGCCGGTTGGGGACTGATTCGTGTCCCCCAAAAGCCATTCAAATCCTACCTCGGTACCTCTCAGCATGTCCCCTTATGTGTAAACAGGGTCTGTTCATACGTGATCCATTAAGACCCTATAGGAGTCGACCATATGAAGGGGCCCCGTAATACAACTGATGTAAAAGGGAAATATGAACCTGGGTCAACATGAAGAGAAATGCAGGGATGACAAGAACAGAAACTGGAGAAACCCCCGGACACCTGACTGCCAGGAGCTGCAGGAACAGCCGTTCCTCTCTGTGGAGTTCTGAGGCTTAACTCTGGATTTCTATTTCCAGTCACTGGGCTGCCTGGCCCGAGGAGGCTCAGGTTCACTGACATCGCTCTGGTCCCTGGTGACTGGCCTGCTTCCCAGAAGTCAGTGCTTTACCCCGGCCCTGTGTGGTTTTGTTGCTGTTTGTTTTGTTGTTTTTCTCTTTTGGTTTTTTGAGACAGGCTTTCCCTGTGTAGTCCTGGCTGTCCTGGACTCAATTTGTAAACAAGGCTGGCCTTGAACTCACAGAGATCCACCTGCCTCTGCCTCGCTGAGTGCTGGGATTACAAGTGTGTACCACCACACCTGGCTTGTTGTTCTTTTAAGTCTTTAAAAACACACAATAAAAGGGATTTCTTCAATTCCTGGTGTACTAGTGGCTTTTCTACTGCCAAGGCAAAGAATCATGACTAAGGCAGCTTATAAAAGAAAGCATTTAATTTGGGGCTTGTTATAGCCGGGCTGTTCTCATCGAAGAGGAGAGCAGGATGAGCTCTTTAAGAATGTGAAGTGTTTATTGAGCCACACAGACCTGGCCAGGGGTTACACACTCCTGTGGCTACGAGTCTAACAAGGTGGTCTCTACCTGAGTGAACCAGGTAGAGTTATAAAGGTAACCCCAAGTTTGGTACACCCCTTGACGTAGCTGCAGTGACTATTGGCAAGCATGACAGGACATGGACTTTTAATAAGAATAGGGCACAGGGTGTCACCATGGTGTTTCTGTTTGGTCGGAGATGGGAGCAGAAAGCTTGCAGCTACAGAAGCAGGACAATGGCAGGTGTGAGCTAGGGTTCCTGTAAAGTACTTTGCCTCCCGAAGGGTCAGGCTGACCTCAGTTTTAGCCTGGGGTTGGGTCAGGATTCAGCAAATGTGTTTTTCTCACTTCAGGCTCAGAGGGTTGGAGTCTGGTCATCAGGATGCAGAACAAGGCAGCAGACATGGTGCCGGAGCAAGGGCTGACACCACACATCCTGACGCATGAATGGGAAGCAGAGGGATCTGACTGGGAGTGGCTGAGTCTTCCCAAACACCTCCTCTGCCAAGGCCCCACCTGCTAATTCTTCCCAACAGTCCCAACTGTGAACTAATAGGAACCTTCGGGGTCATTCTCTTCCATGACTTATCAAACAAAGCTACCAAACCGGGACCACGTATTTAACTGCCTAAGACTACGGGGGATTTCAAACGACAACACCTTTTACCATACCTGGTAAAAGGCATTTCTCAAAAATAAAGCTCATACTTCCTGTTTAATCTTAAACTTTTATTTTATCTTGTAGTCTTGAGATAGGGTCTCATGTAGCCTAGGCAGGTATGAGTTATGGTTCCTGATGCTAGCTCCTGATCCTCTTGCCCGTCTCCAACGCCCCCTGCTTGCTGGAGAGTCATCTCTCCTTCGCTTTTTCCATCATGATCGGTGTGGCCGGAGGCTACACAGACCTATTTCTCAATTACCTTTCTCACGGGGTATCTAAACAGGAAATAAGACATTTCTCGTAAGTGACGCTATGACTATGAACTTGCCCTTAGGTAGAATATTTACTTCTGCAAAGAGAACCAACTTGTTCTAAACTCAATGTCTGTCCTATCTCAGGAACCCACACTCAGGAGTGCCCAGAGAGATCTGAAAACACTTCAT